GGGAGCAAGCAATCTCATTCTTGGCAGGCCTTAGTTAGCATGTTAAATGTGAAAACTTCTGACATTACAATAAAAGACTGAACAGGTTTGTAAAGGTTGCCAAGAGAAAGCTCGAGCACCTCAGATGAACCTTTCAGTCACTGCGCTGACCATGAGCTCTTCTGTGCACCGAAGTATTCTAGAGTCAAACCCGAGTCCATCTCACGTTTGCTTGAAACTAGGTTATGACAATGAAAGCAAGCACACCAGCTGGAGAATAAGGTATTGTCCCAGTTAAAGACCAGGCTTCAAGCAGGTTGAAATGCTGTGGTGGGGCCTTATGTGAGCTGTTCAGGAACAAATGCCCCCAAATATTTTGTGAACTGAAGTAACGTTGAGTAGAAAAACGTCCAGAATTCCCCCACAATGAAGGCACACAGAAACAAGTACTTCAAGTTATTGCTCTAATAAAACCTTTCTTTTTCACAAGATCGTGTGCACCTCAGAGAGCCGACACATGAAACATGGGGACCACAGTTAGGTCTGGGAATCTTCTTTTACCTTACATTTCCCTACAAAAATAGCAACGACTGCAAAGGCAAAGATTTCTTTAAAAAAACAAAGAAGAATCAACACACAGTGAGTCTGCAGACTGTCTGTTTCTGTTTAGTTACCCTGGTAATCCACGATCACCTGCTCCAGCTCAGAAGGGAAAGACTCTCAAGTAACAAACATACATTTGCTGAAGAAACGTGACTTTATTTTGACGTCTCATTAGTCGTGGATCCTCCATCTTTATGCAATTTTAGGAATAATAAAAAGGGCGTAAATCTTTAACTTCTTGTACAAAATAATCAGACACTACTATTTCACAGTATTCCTACAAACGTGTTATATGCTATTGATATATCCTCTTACGTTATATATTCACGGTGAGCCAGGTAACAACAAACAGTCACAGCATGTCTGTGTGACTGTGTATGAGTTTATGACTTCGAGTTATATTGATGTAACATTTATACAGTTTATTTGGTATTAACAAACAAAAAGAGGCAAAGAACTGGATTTAACTTGTACGTCTCATAAACCAGTTTATCGATTGGTGTTTGTTTCAGTTCAATTAAACGTCATTAAAACAACTTGAAAAATGAAACTGTGTTTCAGAGCCCGCATAGCCACAAAAATAACAAATCAGTATCTCGAATATCCTCCTCTCAGTCCGTTTATCATCACTGCCTCTTTCATCTGGCCCCGTTCCCATTGCCTGCATCTTCCATTAATTCCTCCACATCACGTCATCCTCTGTGACTCCTTGTTTCAGAGGGTGACTCCTTAAGAAAAGTAGACCTCTGCATCGACATGTCAGGACATGTTTATCATACCAGTCTTAGTTTCTTCTTTTTATTTTACAGGCACATTTAAAAACCCCTCTTCCTCTGGACCTGTGTGTAACTGTATCCCTCAGGCTTCTCTTTTTGTCTCCCACTGTGCGTTATGTCTGACGTGCCAAAGCTCGTATTTAGCAGGTTTGATGTTACAGTGTTCCCACTGTAACATCAAACCTGCTAAATACGTTTTCTGCAATGAGACAGTAACATCCAGGTCATCTCCAGTTTCCTGCACCGCTTGTCCAGCGGTACAACTAGCATAACTTAGTGATAGTGGAGCAACCACACGGGCTTTCTGTGAACTCGGAGCACACTCCCTTTATGCTCAGCCAAGACAGCTACAGTTAAGCTGTGCTTCAGGTTCCACGCGCGACCTTGAGCTATCATCTGGAGCCAGGCAGACATAACAGAGGAAACAGGACAGCACTCTCAGCTCTCAGCTCTGCTACTGCCCGTGAGCGTGTTTTTGACCATACAGGGTCATACATGGTGCCCGTAAACATTACAGATGCCAAAAAACACGAGAAACTACAAATGTTGACTTGTAGACAAAATGAGTCATAATCATCAGAGGGGTGGAAGCCGTCAGCAGCCAAACAGAGTGTACGTTAAACTGTGAGAGTAGACTAAATAAGGCATGTTTGGTTTAACCATCGCAGACTCAAGTGGACCACAGCATGGCTTAAGAAGATAAAAGGCAGCCGATCTGTACACAGCAGGATGGGACAAAGTGGCAACAGCCCAAAGCCACAACACACCATTAAGTTTTGTGTGGGTCTGAATCTATTAAACCTCAGCTAACACAAAACGGACTCACGGTCAAAACCATGCCGACATCATCAATCCTCTCAGTCCACACTTTGTTAGCCTGAAGCGAAGCATTAAGGCAAGTTTTTGCTGTTGGCCAGTTTTCATACGTGCTAAACAGATGCTGGAAGCTGGACTGTGCTGTAACTACATACAAGCACTACTCACAGCTGCTTTTTTCCAAGAGGGCTGTGCTGGTGCCAGTCCCTGAAAACTCAGACCACAAGTACAAGAACAAATTATTACACATGGTTCTTCCCTCCGTTCACATAAAAAAGCTAGTACTGGTATGAAGTGCTTTGAACTGGTCCTTTTCTGGGTTTCAGTGCATGGAACCGGTTCTCAATTGGGCCCTGGAACCATGACAGTGGAAAACGGGGCAACAGACATCATTTAAGTGCATAACGGCTACCCTGAAAATACAACAACTGGATCTTTAGGCAAACACCAATATGCACTTAGCTTTTTGGACAATGACCTTTTGTAATTTTGCCTGTGTGCACCACCAAAGTGGATCTGATCCAGCCAGACATCACATCTGTACATTCACCACCGTCAGGAGCAGAGCCTTAAACAGTTCTCTGATCTCCTGCTCCTTCATCTAGCATCACCATCACAATCTTTTCACAGCACGGCGTCATTAAACTAAACAGTTTTTCAGATACATTTACAGTGAAACTTTCTGTTTAATAAGTCAAAGGGCTCCATGCAGTTAGACAAAAAGCATAAATGTTTAATGTCTTCATCTTGGTTCCAAAAGTATTTAAGCAGCTCTAAACAGCTTCAAGCTGCCTATCAGTCATATGTGATAGAAATGTTTCCGTGGGCAGTAAGCAGCTCCTCAGCACTCGTGTATATAATGATTAGTTAAGCGCTCCGAGGTCTGGATGCTTGTCCCGGCTTGTAGAGAGATTTTCCTACGCCCTCCTATAGTTCCCCATCATTACAGAGCACACTTTAGTACTCTGTGTGTTTACCGAGAGGCAGATAGCCGAGTGTTTACAGTAATCATCACATTCACGCACACGTGCACGCTCTCTCTTTCTCTGTGCGTGCTTTTGGCAGCTTACTATGTTCTTCCCTCTAATAAGAGCTTTCTGAGACGAGGAGGCACTTTCCCGCTCCTCAGAGATATTAGTGAGGAGGAGGGTTGGGGGTTAGGAGGGGGATATGGAGGGCTGCACTTACACCCACCAGCCCCGCCCCTGGCCCCTCTTTCAGGTTTTTACTGAGCTTGGCAGGCGGCCAGGACGAGAAGCTG